TTTCAGACCATCCATGAGATTCAGGAAAATATGATAGGGCAGCTGATGATGATTGGGAGAACTATGTGAGGTCCTAAGGTGCCTACTTTGAAGGGAACTGAGGCATCATTGTCCTGTGTACAGTGTATCTTGTATCTTCTTCAGTAAATGTCTTTTTCATATTACATGGCTGGATACCTTCTGGACAGGCCTATAGTTGCCCTTTTTCTGTTCAAATCAATAACCCATGTGGCAATTACTAGCCTATAACATCCATTTTGGCAACATGTGTACCTGGTGTATGGTACATTGTTTCTGCTGAGAACTGCCTAAGAAGTCTGGTATTTTTTTTCCCAATATGTGTTCAAATCTGTGAACTGAGGAACGGCACCTAATCTGCAGTTCTGAATAGATAGGTTATCCATCAATATATAAGACAACTTGTTCTCTGAATCATAATGCTCCACAGAGTAGTTGGGGGTAGGGGAATGAAATTACTATTTTTAAAGTGATTGTTTTATGCATGTTAGATTTTTAAATGAATTTTCCAGACAAATTCTTCCCATTTTGTATTTTCCTACATAAAATGTTTCTAAAATAACAAAATAAAATAACTCAGTCTTTTAAAATATATACTTCCTCCCCTTATAGAGGTCCAAGTAAGAGTACTGGAAAACAATGCAAGGGCATCTCTGTAAGTGAATGCCTGGGCTTGGGAAGCCTCACTGTTTTTTAGCTGGTTGCTGGCACAGATGGACAGTGGAGACCATTGCTTGCAGAAGCTGGTGCTAAGAAGGACCAGAGCTTAATACAAGGAAAACCTCTTGATTTGCCAGAGAAGTCTGGGAGGGAAGCAGATGGCCACAAGAAGGGCCCTCCAGCTTACTCAGCTGCTCTGAGAAGCTTAGGGTGACCTCTTTAAAACAAACCAAGTGGCTCTCAGGGTAATGGGGCAGTATCATTTGTATTCCCGAATAACAATACTGTTCCTCACTACAATCTCTCTCATCCACACCCAGTGCTGAGGGCACCATCTGCTTCTTGTGAACTTATATAGGTGCTGGCCCTGGCCAGTTGGGAGTGCAATTGAATGATATCCCTTGGAAATGTGTTCTTTACAAATTACTTTCACATGAGTCTGATAGGCATATAGATAATATGTTTTTCTGCATTAATAAGAAACTGAGGCAAAGGGGAATTGAGGGATACCGGAATTAGAATTTAAGCATCCTGATTCCTGACTTCTGTATATCATGGTGAGTCCACAGAGCCATTTCAGTGCTCTTGTTTAGGCAGCAGTTATCCAGCTTTTGAATAAGACCTTCTGGAGAGGAAATTAGTTATTTTTGAGGATGTCACTATCACCATTTTATGCCTTTGTGTGGCTACCATTTTGCTAGGTGACAGAAAGGAGAAAGTGACTGCTGATTATACTGCTGCAGCCTTCCAGGAGAATGGAACTAAGGGAGAAGGTCTAATTTACATGGTGCAGCATCATCAAAACCAAATTTATTCAAGAGGAAAGTATGCTTATTCAAAGGAGTTACTTAGTTTATATATATAGTGTGTACACACACACACACACACACATACACACTGCTCACCCACATTTCCCACACTTAAACTGACTATAAGAAAATGATTCTTTCTGTAAACCTCAGCTCTCCTTTCCCTGCCATTGGTTGAAATTACATTCATTTTCATGCATTGGCACCTGCTCGTGGGTCTGGTGAATCAAAAGAGCAATGAGCAAAGTGGTTTTAATTGCCCAAGCTTTACTAGAGCCTTTCTTGCACTCAGGAACACAAAAGGCTTTGAATAGTGTCAGAGGGCTGTACTGAGAAGCGCTTTCTTTTAGAACTCTCAGCAGATGATTCGCTCACTGTGCTGAGACATTGTCTTGGGCAGATGAGTTCATGAGCCCACCTTCCAACTGTGAGGGCATGACAGCAGTCAGTTTCAGTTGCCTTGACCAATTGCTCAGGAAGCCAGGAAAATGTAAAAGTTTACAGACTTGACATTAATGCATTTTTGTAGAGTTTTACTTCCTAATTACTTTTATAAAGTTTTGTATACATATTTTAAACTGCATAGTCATATTCATATATTGCAGTAGTTAAGAACAAAGGCTCTGGAGCCAGACTACCTGTATTTATATCTGAATTCTAACAGTTTACAGGCTGTGGGCTGTTTTATTATTTTTTAAATCATTTTTTCTTTTTTTAAGATTTTGTTTATTTATGTGTGTATGTATTTATTTATTTATAAAGAGAAGGGGAGGGAGAACGGGAGAGAAACGTCAATGTAAGAGTGAAACATTTATCGATTGCCTCTTATACATGTCCCAGCCAGGGACTGAACCTGCAATCTAGGCAGGTCCCCTCACTGGTAATTGAACTGGTGACCTTTTGCTTTGCAGGAAGACACCCAACCAAGCCCCACCAGCCAGGGCTCATTTTTATTTTTCAATTACAGTTGACGTACATTACTATATTAGATTCAGGTGTATATCCCAGTGATTAAACATTACATAATTTACTAAGAGAGCATCCTGATGAATCTCCCACCTGACACCATACATAGTTATTAGAAATATTATTGACAATATTCCCTATGCTGTAGGTTACATCCCAATGACTATTCTGTAACAACCATTTGTACCTCTTAATCCCTTCACATTTTTCACCCATCCACCCAACACCCCAGCCATCAGGCAACCTTCAAAATGTTCTCTGTACATAAGAGTCTGTTTCTGTTCTACATGTTCATTTATTTTGTATTTTAGATTCTGTTGTTGATAGATATGTATTTGTTGCCATTGTATTGTTCATATTTTTTTACTGTTCATATATTTTATTTTTTATAAAGAAGACCCTTTAACATTTAATATAATACTGGTTTGGTGGTGAGAGATCTAGCTTTTTCTCTTCTGGGAAGCTCTTTATCTGCCCTTCAATTCTAAATGATAGCTCTGCTGGGTAGAGTAATCTTGGTTGTAGGTCCTTGCTTTTCATCACTTTGAATATTTTTTCCCCAATCCCTCCTGCCAGTAAAGTTTCTGTTAAGAAGTTAGCTGACAAGTCTTATAGGAGCTCCCTTGTAGGTAACTAGCTGCTTTTCTCTTGCTGCTTTTTAAAAATTTTATTTTATTGATTATGCTGTTACAGTTGTCCAGTTCTTTCCTCTTTGCCCCCCACCAGTCTGCACTCCACTCTCTCAGGCAGTTCCCACACCTTGTTCATATCCATGGGTTGTGCTCTGTGGCTCTGTGGCTGGAGGGCTCGGTGAAGGGACAATGGCCTCTGCCTGCCTTTTTGTCTGAGAGAAAGATTCTCCCCCAGTTCTCACCTTGACACAAGACACTTCAGTTCCTCCTTGTACGCCATTGGTGACTTTCAAGCTGTTACCCTAGTGCTGGAGCTCAAAGGGAGTGAGTCTGAATAATTTCATGTGTGGGTTCTTTAAGAGGAACTGTTTGGAAATCCAGCAGTTTTTTCCACTGACTCAATCCCTGCTGGTTTTTGCAGTCAGAAGTTATGGGTACTTATCTTCTTGGCACTGGAATCCTGCCTTGGGGGCCTGGTGTGGCACTGGGACCCCTCACTCTCAAGATACCCCTCCTGAATTTTTATTCACCACAATGGGTGTTGGGACCAGGTCATTCCGCATCTCTGCATCTTCTCCTCTCCTACCAGTCTATATGAATGTGGTTTCTTCAATTCCATAATTCTCAGACTTCCATTCAACTCGAATTTGATGGTGTCAGTGATGCTTGTTCTATAGTTTAGTTGTAATATTGATATGGTTATGCAAGGGGGAAAGCTGTGTTTACCTACACCTCCATCTTGACCAGAAGTCTCTCTTAGTATTTAAGGAAAATATGAATAAAAGATCATTACAAAGATGATATACAGGAGATTTTTTACTATAAAGCAGTTGTTTTTCCCATAAGTTCTAAGCAATTTTTGTGGGGCTTTTTTTTTTTACTTTTTAAAATCAAGCACCCACTATGTTCTAGGCAGTGAGCTGACCACTTTACATATTTTTTACTTATTTTACAGATGAGGGTATCAAGAGTCAGAGTAGGTGAGAGTCAAAATTTAAGTAAAAAACAAAGTCATGGCCCTGGCTGGCATAGCTCAGTGGATTGAGCTCGGGCTGCGAACCAAAGTGTCACAGGTTCTATTCCCAGTCAGGGCACATGCCTGGGTTGCAGGCCATGACCCCCAGCAACCGCACATTGATGTTTCTCTCTCTCTATCTCCCTCCCTTCCCTCTCTAAAAATAAATAATAAAATCTTAAAAAAACAAAAAACAAAGTCACCCTAATGAAATGCTAGATGAAGGCAAATGATTCTCAGTGACTACTAAAACTATTAGGTGAAAAGTTGACAACAAACGTAATTGCAAATTATTGGTGCTGTGTGCTAGTGAGTATAGGTGTAACACTGCATATTCTTACCATACCATACTGTGCTTTCCATGTCTTATGAGGTTTCTTTTCTTTTTAGGTATTCAACATGGTCACCACTTTAGACTTGTATGTTTGGAGGAAGAAATGTCTTTATCTTCCTTGTTATTCTTCCTGTCTCTCCATGTGGCATTCTCTTGGTTTCTTTTTTACTTACAGCATTCACCTTACTCTAGATTGTACTGATGTTATTTGTAGACTTCTCTTTGCCCACCACCTAGAGCTTAAAATTTACTACAGAGGTTTTTAACTTATTTGGATTTCCTTATTAACTTTTTTGAGACTTGTGATGAAAACTATGAACTGCCTCCCCAGAAAAATGAACATATGTAAAACCAAAGTTTTCTTATTAGTTCAGGAGGACTCCAGGGAAAAGACTCTTTCAAGATTGTGTGTTCCTAAATTGCATTGACCTATCTTTGGCAGAACCTACCATATATATAGGAGATACTCAGCAAATAGTATCTGAATTGATTAACTGAAATGCAAAATGAAAATCTTCAAGTTTCTTACTACAGAATCTCTAAACATACTTTCTTTGTTTCCTTAGGCTTCCATCTCAGTGGCACAGTAACTGAGCCTGCCACTACTTCGGAACCAGCAATGACTTACAAAGTTGCAATCAGTTTTGACCGCTGCAAAATCACTTCAGTGACATGTGGCTGTGGCAACAGGGACATATTCTATTGTGCTCATGTGGTAGCACTGTCACTCTACAGGATCCGTAAACCAGACCAAGTCAAATTGCGTCTTCCTATCTCAGAAACCCTTTTCCAGATGAATAGGGACCAGCTACAAAAGTTTATTCAGTATTTAATCACAGCACACCACACTGAAGTTCTTCCTACGGCACAGAAACTGGCAGATGAAATTCTATCCTCCAACTCAGAAATCAACCAAGTGAACGGTAATTATACAATATTTTTGTTGCTAAAAATCTACTTTGTTATTTTATTACAAGTTTAGAGGTTGGGATGTTTTGCAGTTATAATCATTTAGCCTTAATCAGCTCATTCTATCCAAACTGTGTATTTAAACTCTTACTGTCTTAAAGCAGTTCACTTGTCTACCTCAGAAAGGTTTGGCAAAAAAGGACAGAGAAATTTAGAGGTATAGATCTAGTTTATGGGTTTTATTTGTCCACGCAATCTGTGACCCCGGAACCTGGCATTTGTAAGAGTGAGAGAAAGCATAAAAATTTTTGTCATTCAGTGAAATGGATGGATATGAGAATTCCCTTAACATTTCAGGATCCTGCACACCATCAGGGTTATTCTAAAGAGCATCTGTTAGGATTGTGTGTATGAGTTATATAACGGGGGGAGTGCATGGATGAAGAAAGATAGTATGTGCATGCATTCATTCATTAAGTATATACTGAGTACCTACTATATGCAAGCAATAGTGCCGATTGATGAGGGCATAAAACAGACATGGTTCCTGCTTTCAAGTAGCTTATAATCTAGTAGAAAAGACAGCCAAGTCTGAAACAAATGCTTGCTTTTATAGTGAGGCCAGGTTGTAGAGACTTAGAAAACCTGGAAGCCATTAAAGGATATTGAGAAGAAGAAGCTGTAGAGCCAATTTTTCATTTTGTTTGTTATGTCCTATATTCCAGGCATCATGCAAGTGATTGTTTAATATGTTAATTCATTTAGTTTTCAAAACTACCCAGTTAGGTATGTGATACAACCATCACCATTTTATAAATAAGGACATTATTTATAACCCACACTTACCTGACTTCAGAACTCAAGTTTTTAGACTTGTTTATACAACCTTTCTATTTTTAGAAGATAACTATGGTATTAATGTGAAAAGAGGCAATTAGGCCAGGTAGGGAGCCTGTGTAATACTGTAGTCCATTTGCCAAAGGGCCTCCCTGTCCTATTTGTCCAATAGAGTTAAGTTCTACACACAGCCTCACTACTCCTTAGAGAATAGTCAGGCAGTCAGGCTTCCAGGAACTCTTGCTAACTAGCAGAAATAATCTTCTGTTGCTTTATAAAACTCTTAAGTTATAGTGTGTTACACAATAACTGAGATCCTTCTATTTGAGTGACACTGTTAAACAGTAGCCCTCTCTATCTCTTCGTATCCCACACAGGGAGGCTGTTCTACTTTTCTGAGTTCTTAGGGACCTGAGTTCTGCCCCTTCCCTGGAGAGAAGTACAGCTGTGTACCCTAACAACTGGGCTATAGCCTGCATTCATGCCACATTCCCACTAGCTCTTTCTCAGACTTTTTTTTCTATGTCCAACCTGTCTTGCCTTTTTTTACACAGACAGCCTTGGTTCAGGACCTGCATTGTATCTGTTTTTTTCACCACTGCTGTCACCAGTACAACCCTCTTTTTTCTTTACCGCTATGCTGAAGCAACCTTTATCCACCCCTCATTACACCTCCCATCTCAGTATCTTATTATTTGTCTGAAATTGGGTTGAAGTGATCACATTGAACTTGAGATGTGATTCTCAGCCTTCCCCAGGAGCTACTACCTGTGTTTATCCCACACTTACATTAGCTTTGTCCCCCAGGTTCCATAGTTTTCTGCAAGTCCTTTCTATTCTATTTGTAATAACCAGTGCTATGAAGACAATGATATTGAAAGTAGGGCGGGGATATCTTAGAGGTAACATGGACTGGATACAATGTCCAGGTGTGTGGGAGGAGTGGGGAGTAAAGAAAAGGAAGATAAGAGAAAACTGAGTTCCAGAATGTCTTGCTAGGATGGCACTCATAGATTTAATGATAATGTTTCCATTCACTTACGGAACATTAGAGAAGGAACGAATCTAGAAGGGTGAATTCAGTTTAACTTTGAGGTGTTTGTAGAATATTTAGGTAAAAATTTCTGGTAGACTGTTGGGTATATGGATTTGGAACTCAGAAAAATTAAATTTTTGGAGTTACTACCATAGAAATGATGTTTGAAGTCATGTTTCTGTTCCCTGCTGAATCTTTAAACACTTAGAACATCTTCCTTCTCTTCTCTACCAAACCCTACTCCTCACCAAAACAGACTTAAAAAGCAGGGATATTAAAAAAAAGGTGGGGAGGGGCAGGGGTAAAATTGCTAAAACTGCTAATTATGTGCCTTAAATCTCAGGAATGCTATGCTCCTAACTTCCCTGAAAACTTTTCTTTTATTAGGCCCTGTATGTGGTTATAGCTAGACTTTGCCTTGTCCTCTCTGGATTGGTGATTCAGTTTGCTCTGGTAACTGCCTACCCTGAGATTCTCTGCTGTAAACATGCTGGCCAGGTCTTCAGTTGCTGCTTATCTATGAGGAGAAATTGGACATCAAGATAAAGGGAAGATAACTTGAGGAGTCAAGTCAGGAACCATGTTTTACTAATTTTTGAGTCTCCAAGCATGGTACCTGCAAAATAATAAGGGTTTATTTCATGAATACAGCCATGCATGTATAGGTGATGAAACACGAACCGAAGGAGGAATTAGCAAAATAGAATGAGAAATGAGAAAAAGCTAGCAAGTTATTATTAAAGTCACTATAGAATTGAGTTTCTAGAAGTGAATGATCAAGTCAACAGACCAGCACTTACAAACATAGAAAAGTAATTTGGAGTAGAGGCCATGCAAAGAAAAGACACCTTTGAAAAAGTATTAATATTGTCATCATAAGAATAAAAGAAGATATTGCAATCATGAAATAAAAACTAGATACTATAAAAACAAAATACAAAACAGAAAGAACTAATAAATATAATGGCAAAAAATTATAAAACTAAATGATGGGGGGAAATGTAAGGAAATTTCCTATAGAGAATACAGCAAAAAGACAGATATGAAAAATAGAAGGAAAAAAAGATGTCAAAAATTAAGGAACAAGTCCTGGAACTACAATGTTTGAATAATAGGGATTCCAGAAATAGAAAACAGAGGTAAGAAATGTATCAGTGAAATAATTGCAAAAGATTTTCTAGAACAAAACCATTGAGTTTCCACAGTGAAAGGATCCCACCAAATACCCAGTAGAGGGAAAGAAGAATCTTCTCAATGGTATAGGAAAAAGACTATTTTCTATACCACTTAATGAAAAAAAATACTTGATTACTACATCATACCATACAGAAAGATCAGTTGCAGATGGATTGCAGATATAAATGTGAAAAATAAAACAATAAACTTTGAGGAGATAATGAGAAAATGACTCTCATGTCCTTGAGGAAGGAAAAAAATAGGAAAAGATAAATTGGATTACATTAAAAATTTAAACTCCTCTTTGTCAAAAGGCACCATTAAGAGACTAAAAAGGAGCTTATAACTTAAAATCAAAAAAAGAAAAAAAACAATTAAATAATCCAATTGAAAAATGGGCAAAGAACCTGAATAGACATTTCTCCAAACAGTACATACATATAGCCAATAGACATGTGAAAAACTGCTCAACATCACTAATCATCAGGGAAATGCAAATTAAAACCCTAGTGAGATATCACCTTATACCAGTCAGGATGGCCATCATCAATAAATCAACAAAGAACAAGTGTTGGTGAGGATAACTTGGTTTAACCACTAAGAAAAAAATATAGCAGTTTCTCAAAAAATTAAAAATAAAACTACCATATGACCCAGCAATTCCATTTCAGAGTATTTATACAAAGAAACCTAAAACACTAATTTGAAAAGACATATACACCCCTATGTTTATTGCAGCATTATTTACAATAGCCAAGATATGGGAGCAACATAAAGGTCCATCAATAGATGACTGGATAAAGAAGAGGTATTACTTATACAGTGGACTATTACTCAGCCATAAAAAGAATGAAATCTTGCCATTTGCAAAAACATGTATATACTTAGAGAGTATTATGCTATGTGAAAGAAGTCATACTGAGAAAGACAAATGCCATGTGATTTCACTTATATGTGGAATTAAAAAAGTAAATAAAAGAACAAACAAAACAGAAACAAACTGATACAGAAAACATTTTGATGGTTGCCAGATGGGAGGGAGTTGAGGGGACGGGTGAAAAAGGAGAAGGGATAAGATGTACAAACTGCCAGTTTTAAAAGCATGTAAAGTATAGCAGAGGGAACATAGTCAATAATATTGCAATATATGTATGGTGTCAGAAGGTAACTAGAGTTATGGGGTAAAAAATTCATACGTTATATAAATGTCTAATCACTGTGTTGTATAATTGAAACATATAATATTGTATGTCAATTCCAATTGAAAAATTTTAATAAATAAATAGTAGGTAGATTGATGGATAGATAGTCTGAAAAGGCAATCAAGTAGTGGGAGAAAATATTTGTAGCATGGATAACTGACAAGAAGTTTGTATTCTGAATATATAAAAAATGCCTACAAATAGTAAAATGAACAAGAAACACAAAAGTGCTCTTGACAAAAAGGATATCCAAATGCCTAATGGTCATATTAAAAAGTGCTTTAACCAATTAGTAATTGGGGAAATGCAAATTAAAACCACAATGAGATACCAGTACATATCTACCAGAATGGCTAAATCAGTATCAAGTATTGGTGAGAATACTGAGGAGAATGCCAAAATGAGGAGACAGAGAAAGATGGCCCAAATGAAAGAAAAGATCAAAACTCAAGAAAAAGAGATAAACAAAATGAAGATAAGCAATCTATCAGATATAGAGTTCAAAATACTGGTTATAAGGATGCTCAAGGGACTTAGTGAGGACCTCAGCAGCATAAAGAAGACCCAGTCAGAAATGAAGGATTCACTATTTGAAATAAAAAAAACAATTTACAAGGAAACAACAGTAGAGTGGATGAAGCTGAGAATCATATCAATGATTTGGAACATCAGGAAGCAAAAAACAACTAATCAGAACAAGAAGAAAAAAAATAAAAATATAAAGGGATAGTATAAGCAGCCTCTGGAACAACTTGAAGAGGTC